CTTATCAGACCACCATGCTTTAAAATTAGAATTCAACAATACAAATTGCAGAAAACCTACAAACTCATGGAAATTGAATAATGCACAACTGCACCATTCCTGGGTCAAAGAAGAAATAAAAAAAAAGAAATTAAAGACTTCCTAGAATTCAATGAGAATGAAGACACAACATACCCAAACCTATGGGACACTTTGAAAACAGTGCTATGGGGAAAGTTCATAGCACTAAGTGCTCACATGAAGAAACAGGAGAACAGTTATACCAGAGAATTAACATCATAGCTGAAAGCTCTAGAACACAAAGAAGCAAACTCCCCCAGGAGGAGTACACGTCAGCAAATAATCAAATTGAGGGCTGAAATCAATAAAGTAGAAACTAGGAAAACAATACAAAGAATCAATGCAACGAAGAGTTGGTTCTTTGAGAAAATCAACAAGATAGACAAACCTTTGTCCAAACTTACCAAACAGCAGAGAGTGGACACGCAAATTAACAAATCAGAAATGAAAAGGGGGACATAACAACAGACTCTGAGGAGATCCAGAGAATCATTAGGTCATACTTTGAAAACCTGTACTCCACAAAAATCGAAAATTTAAAGGAAATGGATGACTTCCTGGATAGCTATCACTTGCCAAAACTAAATCAAGAACAGATAAGCAATTTAAATAGACCTATAACCCCTATGGAAATAGAAGCAGTCATCAAAAGTCTCCCAACCAAAAAAAGTCCAGGACCAGATGGCCTCAGTGCAGAATTCTACCAGAAATTCAAAGAACAGCTTATACCAATTCTTCTCAAAGTATTCCACGTAATAGAAGCAGAAGGGTCTTTGCCAAACTCTTTCTACGAAGCTTCAATAACCTTGATCCCTAAGCCACACAAAGACACAACTAAGAAAGAGAACTTCAGACCAATATCCCTCATGAACATTGATGCAAAAATACTCAATAAAATACTGGCAAATCAGATCCAAGAACACATCTAAACAATCATTCACCATGATCAAGTAGGTTTCATCCCAGGGATGCAGGGATGGTTCAACACATGAAAATCCATCAATGCAATCCACCATATAAACAAGCTGAAAAACAAAAATCACATGATCATCTCACTAGATGCTGAAAAAGCCTTTGACAAAATCCAACACCCCTTCATGATAAAGGTCTTGGAGAGATCTGGGATAACAGGGACATACTTAACCATAATAAAAGCTATATACAGTAAACCAACAGCCAACATCAAACTAAATGGACAGAAACTCAACGCAATTCCTCTAAAATCAGGAACAAGACTAGGCTGTCTACTCTCTCCATACCTTTTCAACATTGTAATTGAAATTCTAGCCAGAGCCATACGACAACAAAAGGGGATCAAGGGGATACAAGTTGGGGAGATGGGTGTGGGGAGAGCCAAGAGTGCGGTCTTGCAGGACTCACTTCTTTCCTCTCTAGTTGGATCCACTCAATGCCAGGAGTGGGCCCCGGGAAGATAGAGGGAGTAGGTGATGGGCAGGGATTGGATCCCCAGGAGGACCCAAGGTCATCTGATGTCAGGCGTGCAGGTGTGGGGAGAGCCCTATCTGACAATATTTATGTTCATATGACTGCATAAGTTCTTTATATTCTTATTGATATATAAGTTGAATTGCTCTGTCAATTATTGAAAAAAATGTATTGACGTCTCCCACTCCAATTTTGAATACTTGTTTATCATTAGATTTCTGTTAATTTTTGGTTCATAATATTTTGAGGCTCTGTTTTGAATTGTATAAACATTTAGGAGTGTAACATTTTCATGATAGCTTAGCCTCAATATGACTATAGAATTATATTCTTCTGCTTGCTAACTTTTTTGGCTCAAAAATTTTCTTTGTCTAAAATTAACATAGCTATGTGCAAGTTAATTGTTTACTAAGATAAATACTATAAACAAAAAAATGAGCTGGTAATGAAACATTGTAGGACTTTGCTTTAGGTCTTCCTGATGCGACCAACAATACGAATTTCAGAGACAGTGGTGACTGACATAGGTAATCTGTGTCACCCATCCTTATACTCTCCTGTTTTAATGAGATCATTCTATTCTTGCTTTCCTGTTTCTGTTAATCTATTTCTGGACTCAATTTCCTCTTCAACTTATCAAAAAATTCTTACCTTTCTTGACAATTTTGACGTTTGAAAAAAAAAGTTTTCACCTGTTGTAGATTCTATTGCAGTTCAACAGATGTTTTTTAATTTTTTAACCTAAAGAGAAGCAAATGCTACTTTGATATATTCTTTTATGTTTATGTATGATTATGGTCTGTTCAACTATGTTGCAGATCTCTAATGATAATAAACAACATTTCGAAGCACCTAATTTGTTGGGGACAAGGTCACGGGATCTACTTCTTACCCCAAGGTACTTCCTAAAACTCAGGAGCCTTCCTACCATTTCAAACACTCCCTGCCCCTAACAACCCTCTGCATCACTTCCCAGTGTCTTCAGTATAACAACCTCTGCCCCATGAACAATGTCACATTCCCCTATTTAAGCCTGTACAGAATTCTCATTAAACGACAGCTTCATCGGAAGGTCTGTCTTGCTGTTCATCTCACTCGAGTTTCTTGTCGTGTTCATACCAGGTTCCCGTGGGCTCGAATCCCATTGTTCCCTTTGGTCAGGGCACTAATTGTTGTTTTACATTTAAGAAATACTCAGTAAACATGTCTAGCATCTACATCAAGTAGAGATTGTTTCCTTTATTTTGGAGAACAACGGAATAAGACACAGACAGTCTTGATTTATTTAACACGACAATAAGTAAACCTGGGATTGGGATTTATGCTTAAATGATATGATTTTAGAATAAAGGCAGAAAATGACTTCTTCACAGATGCTGATGCTATATTATTCTGCTGATGGAAGATGACAAAGAGGACAGATGACGGATGCACACACACACATTTTGGAATGAGATACAGTTAGAAAATAATACTTGGACAAAATTCTATTGAGATCATTTAAAGTTTGTCCCCTCAGGTGTAAACCCTTGAGACTTAAGTGCTTTGGGGAGCTGGCTCTGAATTATTGTATGCTGTTTGGATGAGGTCTCTTCTTCTGTGTAGTGTGTGACTCAGTGTTAAGTTCAACGATTCTTTCTTCATCCCTAGGTCTATCAGGGTGGGTGGTCCATAATCTTTTCTAAGTAGTTATTAAGTCACCTTCTGATTACTACAATGAAGAAAATCAGAACTTCTATCTTATAGAAAATGACTGTTTCCTTTAATGTAGATAAAGGAGATGCAGAAAGGGTATCCTCATACAAGTGAGTACATTGGGTTTTGAAACATGATGGAGAAACAGTAATGGTGTGAATTGGGAGGATATGGTCTTCCGCCCTTAAGATTTTGGCATTTTATTCACAATATTGTCTGACTTTACTATTGGTCTATATGAACTTTGCTATACTAATTTACCTGGTTTTAAAGCATAAACATTATATAGAGACACTGATAGCAATAGTATACTACATTCTTGAGGAGTTTTAAATGTCTACACCACAATAAGCAGTATGTGTATTTGGTAATGCATGTTAGTTTCAGGGATCTTTGTAAAAGGTAAGCATTATTGAAGTACAATTTTCTGACATCAGAAATACTTAAAAATTTACTTGTCAATTAGAAATAATTCTTCAATTAATGAATGATTCAAAATAACTCACACTCAAATAAACAATAAACTGTTTTTGAACTTGTAGCAATCTATACCATACTTTGTCTTAACACACCTATTAAAGTGATTTGTATGAGAGGGGACAAAGAGAACATAGGACACAAACCAACTATTTTTCCAATGGACAATGCTCAAGGGCTGTCTGCTTAACTGCTTAAAATACAACCAGACAGCATCAACATAAGGATGCCGTTAAACACAAATAAATTGTACAGATTAAGTCATTTAAAATATTTGAAATGTGTATGGTGCTTCACATATTAATAGTCATGTGGCAAACTGCTTTTTCTTTAAAAGGTCACTTTGTTGTAGAAGTCACATATTTTTGTATTGATAATTTGTGTTGATTATTTGTATTGATCCCCTTCCCTTCTCAAACTGTCATGTCACATTCTTTTTCATTATGCCACTTTTGACTTAACACCAGTCGTACACTGAATTTATTTTTCTTTCCATTGAATGATCCGTGTTAAATCATATATTTTATTATTCTTCCAAATGACAGTTATAAGTATGAAGTTATATTTTCCATATCTTTTTATAATGGGGATTAGGAAATAGACTTATACACACACACACACACACACACACACACTACAGCTTTGTAGTATTTTTATGTTACTCATTATTTAGTAAGAATTGGATGCCATATATAGAGTTTCCAATAAAAGTATATCCAAGTAGGATATTTAAAAGTGTGTGTGTGTGTGTGTGTGTGTGTGTGTGTGTGTTAAAGGAAAATCTCAGTTGCCATTCCTCAGTACTGTCCACCATGATTTTGCAGACTGGGTCTAACACTGGGCTAGCACTGGCCAAGTGGGAGAGGCAGTGGGGAAGTCAGCCCAAGGGACATACCTGTCTCTATCTCTCCAGACTTACTGTGATCATACCAAACACACACTATTAATTAATTTATTTCCTAAACTACTTAAGAGAATTTCCTTATTCTATCATATAGTAAGATGAAAAATGGAGAATAATTTTTCACTACAAATACAATTTTAAAATTGAAGAAACTGATAGAAAATGTAGTTAGATAACTCTTGATGGGGCAGTGTTCAGAACATAAAGAACTCAAGGGTTCAGCAGCTGAAGTTTGCATAGGATTTTGGACAACTGTTCAGATCTACTAGCTAGGAAAACTATTACCACTCAGTTCAGCACTGCTGACCAACTGTCTGTACTAGACCTATTGAGGACAATCTGACATTGATTTCAAATATCACTTGGCAGATCTTGGTAAGGCATACTTTTTATTCTTTTGACAGATTCCAAGTGACCAATGGAAGTAAAGAATCAGACTGCAGTGACAGAGTTTCTCTTCCTTGGCATCACAGATAACCTCCATCAGAAGATTGTTCTCTTCATCATCTTTTTCCTTGTTTATCTTGTCACCCTTGGGGGTAACCTGGGCATGATCATTCTCATATGGGTGGACCCCAGGCTGCACACACCTATGTACTTTTTTCTCAGCCACCTGTCCTTTGTAGATGTGTGCTCCTCTTCTTCTATAGCTCCCAGGATGCTGTGTGACATGTTTGCAGAGAACAAAGCCATCTCTTTTATGGGCTGTGCCGCACAGATGTGGGTCTTTGGTCTCTTTGTGGCAACTGAGTGTTTCCTCCTGGCTTCCATGGCATATGATCGATATACAGCCATCTGTAAGCCCTTGCTGTATACACTCATTATGTCCCGGCATGTATGTGTGCTTTTGGTTATTGGACCTTATGCCATTGCTATTATAAGTACAATGACCCACACAATATTAACCTTTAGCTTACCATTCTGTGGTCCATATATTATCAACCACTTTTTCTGTGATATTTCTCCATTGCTGTCTCTAGCATGTACTGATACCCAGGTCAATAAGTTGATGCTTTTTACCTTGGCTGGAGCAGTAGGTGTAATCAGTGGTCTGATCATCTTGGTCTCCTATGTCTGTATCTTCATGGCCATCTTGAAAATTCAGACAGCCAATGGGGGACAAAAAGCCTTCTCCACTTGTTCCTCTCACTTGGCAACTGTCACTGTCCTGTATGGGACACTTTTCTTCATCTATGTTCGACCTAATGCCAGTTCCTCCTTGAATATTAATAAAGTAATCTCCCTATTTTATACTGTTGTAATCCCCATGTTGAATCCTCTTATCTACAGCTTAAGGAACAAAGAGGTAAAAGATGCCATCAGTAGAACATTGAAGAGGAAGCACTTCCTAATAGGTTCTTAAGACAGAATTCTCTCTGTGACATACCTAAGCTGTGGGAGCAAAATATACATTAAAGAGCACTCTGGCGTGAGACTCAGAGGTTGCAAGTGAGTCCCTGTTCTGTCCAATCAAAACTATTTCACAAACTTGTGCCAAATTTTGATGGAAACCAGCTTACAGATTTAACAATTTTAGTGAATTTAACTGCTCATTGAAATGATTGAGTTAACTATGCATTTTCAAGGTGAGAACATATTTTCAACACAATGTTTCAAATGACAGCAGTGTGTCAAATGAAGCTGAAATTATGAAAGGTCAAATACTAGTGAAAATTTTATACATTTCCATATTTTGGCTAAACATAATCCTAAGAACAGAAAATGCATGTATTCTTACTTCTTTCCAAGACCTATTGTTAGGTATGAATATTTTGTCACATGTATGTAAGTGTGACATATATTTGTAGTGTCTGAAGAGTTCCAAAAGAAGGCCCTGGATCCCTAAGCCACACAAAGATACAACTAAGAAAGAGAACTTCAGACCAATATCCCTCATGAATATTGATGCAAAAATACTCAATAAAATACTGGCAAATCGGATCCAAGAACACATCAAAACAATCATTCACCACGATCAAGTAGGTTTCATCCCAGGGATGCAGGGATGGTTCAACACATGAAAATCCATCAATGCAATCCACCATATAAACAAGCTGAAAAACAAAAATCACATGATCATCTCACTAGATGCTGAAAAAGCCTTTGACAAAATCCAACACCCCTTCATGATAAAGGTCTTGGAGAGATCTGGGATAACAGGGACCCCCTTGAACTGGAGTTACAGACAATTGTAAACTGACACTTATGTCAGCACCCTAACTGTAAATAAGCACCTTGAGATTTCACTGAGAATTGCAACTACAATACTACCAGATGCTAATATGTTAATTTCATGAGTACAAATATTCTGCTAGTTTGATCCTGCCCCATTTCCATTTTATTTTTAAAATATTAAAAAAGAATGTCATTTTTTTCTGTATAAATGCCTTTTAATAAAAAGATCTTGTTTTTTTTTTAAATAACCAAAAGCCATCTGATGGAAGGCATTTACATTTATATTTTCATCAATAACACTCATTACTTGTAATTTCCTGATTTTGATATAAGAATTATCCCAAGCAAATTTGCTTCCTATCACCAAAATGTGTTAGCTTTAGAGCTCTGAAATTTCAAAGTCTGATTTAGTATTACTGCCCTTTGGGGACTTTGAGGAGTGTCTCTTCCATATTCTATTTCTTGGTGACCCCTGGGAATTTTTGGTGTTCTTTGATTTTCAGATTCTTCATTCCAACTCTGTCTATTTGTTCTCATGGTGTCCCTGTCCCTCTTCTTTTCATGACAACACCATCATGTTAGATTAAGGCTTGACCCTACTCCAGCAGACTACCTCTTCAATTAACTAGTCATATCTACAATCTTCCAGAGAAGATCCAGCCGTAATGCTCTGGGTCAGGCTGATTCACATATCTTTTTTTTTTTCGGGAAAACACATATTTATTCAAGTGTGCATTACTCCAGATGTTATTGAATTTTATGGTAGCAACACATCCCCAAGAGTTCAGGGTGAGAGTGCACCTCACATTGTTCTATGGGAGTCCAAAGTCCGTGTGTATACTTGGTATGGGTACTGATCTGCTGCCCAAGGCTCAATAGATTCCCTAGGCCTCCTCACTGACACCCAGATTCAGGGGGTCTTGATCAGTCCCATGCTGGATTCCCAGGCTGATGCCTGGGATTCAAGAGTTAACCTTTGTCTGGTCAGCTGTTTCTGGGGGTTAAACCAGCCCAGTCTTAATCCCTTTGATCATCAGTCCTCCCTCTCTGATACTGGCTTTCTTGAGTTCAGCTCAGTACTTAACCAGCCACTAAATGTAGTTTCTGTTTCCCAGACTCTCTGGCCATAGGATTGTAGGCTGGCACTCCCCAGATCTATGTCTAAAATCCATATATGAGAGAGTACATGCCATGTTTCTATTTGTGACTGGGTTACCTCACTCAGGATGGTTTCTTCTAGTGTCATCCATTTGCCTGCGAATCTCATGATTCCATTATTTTTTTCTGCTGAATAGTACTCCATTGTGTAGATGTACCACATTTTCTCTATCTACTCTTCGGGTGAGGGACATCTAGGTTGCTTCCAAGTTCTGGCTATTACAAATAAAGCTGCTATGAACATAGTGGAACAGACATCTTTGTTGTATGAATGGGCATCTTTTGGATATATGCCTACGAGTGGAGTTGCTGGGTCTTGTGGTAGGTTTATTCCCATTTTTCTGAGGAATCTCCATACTGCTTTCCAAAGTGGCTGAACCAGTTGGCACTCCCACCAGCAATGGAGGAGTGTCCCCCTTTCACCACATCCTCTCCAGCATAAATTGTCATTGGTGTTTTTGATTTTAGCCATTCTGACAGGAGTGAGATGGTATCTCAGAGTTGTTTTGATTTGCATTTCCCGGATGGCTAAGGATGTTGAGCACTTTCTCAAGTGCCTCTCAGCCATTTTAGACTCCTCTATTGAAAACTCTCTATTTAGTTCTGCAGCCCACTTTTTAATTGGGTCCTTTGCTGTTTTGGAGACTTGCTTCTTGAGTTCTTTGTAAATTTTGGAGATCAACCCTCTGTCAGATGTGGGATTAGTGAATATTTTTTCCCATTCTGTGGGCTGCCTTTTTGTCTTGCTGACTGTGTCCTTTGCCTTACAGAAGCTTCTCAGTTTCAGTAGGTCCCATTTATTAATTGTTGATCTCACTGTCTGTGCTACTGGTGTTATGTTCAGGAAGCTGTCTCCTGTACCAATTCGTTCAAGGGTACCACCCAATTTCTCTTCTATGAGGTTCGGTGTGGCTGGATTTATGTTGAGGTCTTTGATCCATTTGGACTTAAGTTTTGTGCATGGCGATAAACATGGATCTATCCGCATTCTTCCACATGCCAGTCTCCAATTATGCCAGCACCATTTGTTGAAGATGCTTTCTTTATTCCATTGTATATTTTTAGCTTCTTTGTCAAAGATCAGATGTTGGTACGTGTGTGGGTTAATACCCGGATTTTCAATTCGATTCCATTGGTCTACCTGTCTATTATTGTGCCAATACCAAGCTGTTTTCAGGACTATAGCTCTATAATAGAGCTTGAGGTCAGGGATGGTGATGCCTCCGGATGTTGCCTTGTTGAACAGGGTTGTTTTGGCTATCCTGGGTCTTTTGTTTTTCCATACAAAATTGATTATTGTTCTTTCAAGGTCTGTGAAGAATTGTGCTGGGATTTTAATGGGGATAGCATTGAATCTGTAGATTGCTTTTGGCAGGATTGCCATTTTTACTACATTGATCCTACCTATCCAAGAGCATGGGAGATCTTTCCATTTTCTGAGGGCTTCTTTAATTTCTTTCTTTAAAGATTCAAAGTTCTTACAATACAGGTCTTTCACTTGTTTGGTTAGCGTTATCCCAAGGTATTTTATGTTGTTTGTGGCAATTGTAAAGGGTGATGTTTCTCTGATTTCTCTTTCAGCCCTTTTATCATCTGTATATAATAGTGCTACTGACTTTCTTGAGTTGATCTTGTAGCCTGCCACTTTTCTGAAGGTGTTAATCAGCTGTAAGAGTTCCCTGGTAGAGTTCTTTGGGTCATTGATGTAAACTATCATATCGTCTGCAAACAGTGAAAGTTTGATCTCTTCCTTCCCAATTTGTATCCCCTTGATTCCCTTTGTTGTCGTATGGCAATAGCTAGAACTTCAAGTACCATGTTGAAAAGGTATGGAGAGAGTGGACAGCCTTGTTTTGTTCCTGATTTTAGAGGAATTGCGTTGAGTTTCTGTCCATTTAGTTTGATGTTGGCTGTTGGTTTACTGTATATGGCTTTTATTATGTTTAAGTATGTCCCTGTTATCCCAGGGATATTGACAAAACGTGGCAAATTAAGTTGTAGTAAGGTTAAGCACCTTGTCTTTGTAAAGGCTGGGCAAGACAATCCAGTATGAGGAATAGTTGGTTATTTTTAAAAAGACATAAAATTGGTCAACTAGTCTGGGAAAGCCACTCACAACTATTAATCATTAGGGAAAAGTCAAATTGAAACCACAATGTGACACCACCTCACTCCATTGACATTGATTATTAAATAAAAGAGAGAAACACAAGTCCCATAGAATGCTTATGAGGCTGTGATAAATGAAACAGGCATTATGGAAAACATTATGGAAGTGGTTCAATGTGGAAATAGAAACATCATAAAATCTAGTATTACCACTAATGGGCACATACCTAGAGGAAATGATGAAACTCACTTTTACTATCTTCACAATGATGTTAATTAAAAAGAAATTAAGAATTATCCAGATAGGAAATAATCACAAGTGTTCCTCAACAAAAAAGTAAGAAAATATTGTATACAAGCACAATTGAATAGTAACCATAAAAACCATTAAAATTTTCCATTTATGACAACATGGGTTGAGCCAAAGAACAATGAACATATACTAATTAAAAATAAATTAAAAGTTAAAAGAAATGAAAGTGGAATCTCTTGGTAAAAAGATCCCACAGAGGAAGGTACCGCCCCATATGCATAAACATATATACATACACAATTTTCCCAGAAATCTTTTTTTTTTGAGATAAGACACATTTAGGGAATAATAACCAAAGAGTGCTGAGATAATGTTAATTTTGCCCCTTCAGGTGTATGTAAGCCTTTGAGGTTTGAATTCTCTGGGGACCTGGCTCTGAATTGTATGCTCCCAGGATGAGGTCTCTGGTTCTGTGTAGCATGTGTATCAGGAATTCTTTTTTCATGTCCTGGATGGGAAGTTTATTTCTTCTCCATCTGTGTAGAATCTCTCAAGTGACGGTCACTACCATTCTTCCTTCTAGGAAACGTCATAGCTTTTGAAGCAGTTAAAACTGTGGCAGAATGAAGTGAGTACACTACATTTTAGGCTATTAGATGTGCTTGAAA